AATGTAACCAAACAAAAAGTTCTTCAGTGCGCTATTTTATTTGAATAATTTGCTCTTTTTAAATTTTGTATTAAATATGCTCCGTTTGTTAATTTGGAGGATTAAGATGCTCCATATAAAATTTGCCCTTTAATTTTGTTCATATTTTTTTTTGTTCTACGATGCTTTTGTTTAAAGATTTATTTTTAGATATGTAAATTAGCATGAATAAAAATGGTTGTCTTATGTAATCCCCCAATTTTAAGTTCGGTAGCTAAATTATTTTTTCATGCACAGCAAAATATCACAATACCCATCACAACATGGGCGAACCCATAGGTTCCAGGGGCAGTTGCCCCCCCTCAAATATTTTTTTAAATTTTTATATGGTTTTTAGTATTTTACCCATTTTATTCATTTTTTAGTCTTATTAAACAGGTTTCATGCAATTGCCCCCTAAAAATTTTAAAATACTATGGTCTTTAGGTAATTGCCCCAACAGGTTCGAACCCCGCCAGAAAACACTGCCCTTGGACCCCAACATATATGTCTTATAAATTTCCCCCCTGAAAATTAGGGCTGGTTCGCCCTGCATCACAGAACATATTAACCCTAAAAAAATGGGAAGAAAAAATATCAAATCATCATTAAGACTGTTATGTACATTCTCACAGGAAATAGAAATTATTTTCCTCAATGAAATTAAAAAGAATAAATATTACTTCTCTCATTTTTCCAACCAAACATGAGACTAAAAAACTAATTACTATTAAAATTTTAATTTTTGATTCATTATTCTAAATTTATTTAATTTTTCATTCTCTCTTTCATTCCTATTTTATTTTTCAAAATTAAAATATCAAGCTTTTATTTAAAAAAAAATTGAGTCTCTTGCTCATGCGAGAGAACTTATTGCGTGTGATCAATTCGGACTCTCAATTAAAATAAATCACGTCGTCTGTACATAATATATAAAATGTATAAAGCAAACCATATAAATTATATCACAAGTAAATATAACGGATGATTATGACATGTTCTGAGTTGAGTCTGGAATACAAGCTCACAGCCTTAATAATTTTTTCTATGCTCCCGTCCAATAACACTACACCCAAAAACAGATACTTAATATAATAAATAATTAAATAAAAAAACACTTAATTAAATAATAAATTTAATTTTCATAATAAAATTTAAGAGATTTATGAAATGAAATATTCTTATTAATTTTATAAATATGCCTATCAAATTATAAATAAACTTTAATAAATGCATCAAGTTTCGTGTTTCTCAAAACACGATTTGGCAACACGTTAAAACGTGGTTCACATGATAGATGTCCTTTAACAAAAGCAGAAATTTTTTGGGGAAATAAAAGCAGAAAATTTTCTCCCACGTCCATTAATTGATTGGTTTTTGGGTCCATTGTGCAAGGCTAAAATGCACATTTCTTTGTCTGCATAATGTAGCGAAAAACTAAATAAATTAATAAACTATAAAAAAACATATTTTCTTTTGCTTGAAAAAGAAGTAAAATGTTTTAAATGCAGGAATTTTAAAGATATTGATGTTTGATTTGAAGTAAAAGAAATACAAAATAAAATTTTATTGCAATTGAAAAACACCAATTAGTTCAATTTTGAGTATTTAGAATTTCCTCATATTTGGGCGATTTGCAAATACACTGCAAACTCACCGCCATTACCACCGTATGTCGGTCACCTCCGCTGCCTCCAGCTAGCCGCCACCGTTGGCTAGGGGTTGTCAATATTTGACACGACACGAAAACACGACTCGAACTTGAACACGTCCTAAAAATTTCAGGTTTGACCCGACCCGATTTCAAAAAGGGTCGGGGTTAACCCAATGTGTTGCCGGGTTATCCCAACGGGTTCCCGGAAACACGTTTAAAACGAGCTGCCCACACCTACCTCGGCTACCCGCACACCTGCCCCCGCTACCCTCGCACCACCCGCGGTTGCTGGCACCCTGCCCTTGCGACAGCACTTGCCAGCCTGCCGCCCGCAAGCTCGAGGCTACCTGTGCGCTCTCGCGCCTGCCGGTGATCATCCCGCTCGCGTCCGCTCGCACCCGCAGACGCTCGAACCTGCCAACGACCTCCCGCCACCCGCCGCTTGCAGCCCATCGTTCCGCCGTCCTGTGTTGGGTCGGGTCCATATCTGCATTTTTGACTCATTTACATACCTGGGTCGGGTCAGGGTTGATCTGTTTGAACTCGGGTCAGTTCCAGGTTCGACCCAAACCTGAACTGAAACCCGATTTTGACACTCCTACCGCCGCCGACTATATTCTTTTTACAATTCATTCATTTTACACTATATTCTTTTTAAAAAACGAGCTATATACAATTCTGTAAATCCCCAAGTAGTGATATAAATATTTGATGTTATTGTTATTGTTATTGTACACTTTTGTGGAGAATTTGTAAGCATTTTTAAATTATTATCAAAGAATAAGAATATGAGCTTTGATTAGGTTCACTGGGACTTAGATTGGTATATTTGTAGCATAGATGAGTTTGTTTCATATATTGCGATGACCAATGCCTCCATGTTAAGAAATGTTCATCTCTATGAGAGATAAGATACAATCATTTTTCGCAATCTCTATGGCCTTTTAGCACTTCCTCATTCACCGCCCTCAAGTTGTGCGACTCTTCTCATTTATGAAAGAATCGGTGCGGCCGTCCTCATTAACCGCCATGATCTTTCTATATCATTTTATCTCTTATCTTTAAATTGGGCTACTTCCATCTCCATAATGAAAGGTGAACCTATCATATTTAAGTTTCATTTGAGATCATTTTATTATTATTCTTTTTAGAAATAATTTTTAGCATATTTTTTGTTAAAAAAAAATAAAAAAAAAACTCCTTTATAAAATAATAAAAAAATTATTCCAAAGAAATCTTAGTTGTCCGAATTCAAAAATATTTAAATAAAATAAGCTTTTATAATTTATTTCTTTTCAAAACTTTTGCATAAAAACGTCAGACACAACAGCTGTTTATGAGTGTATAAAAATAATAATAATAATAATATCATCACTAAAATTGAAGCCTCATCGTACTATATATATATATCACATTAAAGATGCACGAGTTTCTCGTGCTCAACAGTTTATTCAAGATGAAATCTTATCTAAAAGAAATGAACGAGGTGGGGTCCAAAGCGTCTCCATCGCACACGTCTGGTTTAATTTTTTTTTTAAAGTAAAATATGAATTTTACAAATTAAAAATCTACTCGGAATCCATGAAGTGCAAATTTACCAAAAAAATTATTTATATTTTAAAATCTACATTGCACTGCAAATAAGCTATAAATGATACAAATTAGATTTAATATTTATATACAACTACAACAACAAGCTTTGTCCAACTACTTGGGGTCGGCTAGGGGTGTCAATTCGGGTTAGCAGGTCGGGTTCAGGTCAAACCAGAACTGACCGGCACTGTTCGGGTCAACCCGAACCCGACCCGTTTTTAAAAACGGGTCAGGTTTCTGGACCCGAACCCGACCCGATTCGGGTCCGAGTCAACCAGATCCGACACGAATGACCCGAAGTTGACCTAAAATTGCTAATTTTTGGGTCAAAATCAGGTCAATATTCGATATTAGGGTCAAAATCGGGTCAAAATCGGGTCAATCTCGGGTTTTCGGGTCAAATATGAGTTTTCGTGTCACTTTCGGGTCAATTTCGGGTTGCTGGGCCAACCCGAACCCGTCCCGATTTTTAAAACGGGTTGATTTGTTCAACCCGACCTGACTCGTTTCGGGTTTGGGTTGACCCGAACCCGGATTTTTCCGGTTCGGGTTCAGGTCGTGTTTCGATTCGTGTCAAAAATTTACATCCCTAGGGCCGGCAACATAAATTCTTTTTTCTTCATTGTATCCATTTTCTTATTGAACCTAGGTTATTTGATTCCCTCTCATTTTGGGCAAATTATTGTGTCCGGTGTCCGGATTCGTCCGGACACCAATTCGGTGTCGCCACGTCACCAAAGTACATCGGGACCCAATGTATTTGAGTGACATGGCGTCACCGGATTGGATGTCCGGACATCCGGTGACCAGACGCAATAATTCTCCCTCCTTTTGAAGAAGGAAGTGTCATATTCATCATTCGTTGCTATTCATGACAATACTATTAATTTTCTTCTATAACCATCTTTTAAATGAAGGATCAATTTAACTATCTTCAAAGCCCTTCACAACCTCTCACATTCCACTTAGAGGACCGATGCATCCATCTTCATTGGCCTCCATGACCATTTTCGTGTAATTCATATATTATCTTAAAGTCGTCGTACCTTCATCTCCACGAGAGCTGACCTAACCATTCTCAATTATTACCAATTTACCATAGCTTTTCAATAATTTCTCCTCATCTAGCACCTCAAGGTCATGTTGTATCACTCTAACGAGCAGACTACTTTGATCATCTCGATCCATCTCACCGACTTACTTGCCTCTCCATCTCAAAAACACTAGCAACAAAATGCTTTTCACATGCTCAATATTGCCATCTTCTAAGTTCAAAAATTGCCTACCCTTCATGAAACATATCTACTAAATTGATTCAAAAGGGCTTCGCAATAAATGTCTATCAATAAAAAAGTGTATATTAATAAAAGATTAAAAAAAAAAACATAGAATAACATTTGCTCTTTATCACTAAAACACAGATTTTATTTGAGGAAGTTTTTTTTTGTTTTCTAAAATAAATTTTAATAAAAAATTTCGTGAAATAAAAATTTTGTAGTATTTTAGAAAGCAACAATAATACTATCCTAAACTAAATCTTTGTTTAGGACGATTTTTTTCGTCCCTCAGCCTAAGCCTCAGCACGTTCAAGAACAGAAGAGAGGCACGAGTTTCTCGTGCTCATTCATTGATTTATTCGAATTCAGACCTCTTAATAGAGAGATTAAACTCCTAAATCAATATAGATTAAGGTGGCTGAACACTCCTCGATCTGCTATAAATGGCGCCTAAAACTTCTGCAAGCCACACGACCTCCGCCGAGATCCTTCTCGTTCTATCTCTTTAGCCTATCTTCGCTCCCATCCATTCCCCCGTTCTAGCAAGATGATTATCAGTCACATAGTTAAAGATGTTTTGTCTGCCGGAAAAAAGAAGGTGAAAGCCAGTATTGTTATCATGGACAAGAACGTGCTCTCCCTGAACGACTTCAACGCCTCTATTCTCAACCAAATTCAGGACTTTGTCGGCCAGAGTGTCGAGCTCCGCCTCATCAGCGCCACCGTCGGCGATCCCAGTTCGTTCTCCGTTCCCTTTCCTCACTGAACTATAGAGAACAATATGCTTGCCATCTTCTTTTAATAAAGAGATTTTTAACAACTATTTTAACATAATAATATGAACACTGTGAGCAGATAAAGGGAACAGAGGAGTGGTAGGGGAGCCGGCGAACCTGGAGAGGCCTCCGCTTTCCTTCATCCCGAAACTCATCGCCGGCGAGACTTTATATGAAGCGCACTTCATCGTTGACGAAAGCTTGGGAATCCCCGGCGCCATCATCGTCAAAAACCGCCACTTGGCCGAGTTTTATCTCAAATCCATCACTATTGATGACTTCCCCGGGAAAGGTCGAATTCACTTTGACTGCAACTCCTGGGTTTATAACGCTAATAAGTATGACTATGACCGCATCTTCTTCGCCAACGACGTAAGTTGCTCTCTGAGAGAAATTTCGTCGAATACCTTGGGTGCGAAGTATCAAGAAACTAAATTGGAGTTTTGCAGACTTACTTGCCGGAACACACGCCAGGGCCACTCAAGGGGTACAGGGAGGACGAGCTGCGGAATCTTAGAGGAGATAACGTGAACCGAGAGCTGGAGGAATGGGATCGCGTGTATGGCTATGCCTATTACAACGATCTCGGCGCCCCGGACCTCAGTCCGAGCTTGGCCCGCCCAATACTCGGTGGCAATTCCCAGTTCCCTTACCCTCGCCGCGGAAAGACCGGCCGCCCGCCGGCCAGAACCGGTAAGTAATGAATTCACTCACACTACACTGTTAAAAATCCGACCTTTTGGTGCTAAATTTTGTGCTGGTTTGCTGTTGCAGATCGGAATTCGGAGAGCAGGCTTTTCGCTCTTGATCTGAACATCTACGTGCCTCGCGATGAGAAATTCGGGCACTTGAAGTTTGCGGATTTCTTGGGCTACGGCCTCAAGGCAATCACCAAGGACCTGTTGCCACTCGTCCAATCCATTGTCGACTTCACGCCCAAGGAATTCGACTCCTTGAAGGAAGTTTTTGATCTCTATGAGGGCGGCTTTCCTCTGCCGGACATTCCGCTGGTTCGAAAGTTCATTCAGTCCATGCCCTTTGAGCTCTTCAAGACCTTCATCACTCCGGGCCATAACCAGCGCGGCGTACTCAAGTTTCCGTTGCCGCATATCCTTCAAAGTAAGAATTTTTTCTTTCCCCCTTTCTTCCGCTCACTATGTTTACATATATTAAGATTTAATTTTAGTTTCTGATAAGAGTTTTGAGATTTATTTTGATCTAATTTTTTTCCAGCGATGAATTTGATCCATGGATATTGAAAAATAGTCTAGACAGACAAATATTATTACAGCCATGATGGATCAAACTTTTATTGTTTAATTCATTTTTATTTTTTTCATAATTTTTGCTCTACATTAACAGTTGCTCCAGATGGTCTGATTTGAGAATACTACTAATTTCATTCATAATAATTAGTAGTGTTTCCTTAACATAAATCGTTATTTCAGAGGATAAATGGGCATGGAGATCCGACGAAGAATTCGCAAGAGAAACACTGGCCGGCGTCAACCCTATCATGATTCAACTACTGAAGGTACTCTTCTCCTCCTCTCTTCATCGCTTAAAACCAATCATTTAATAACACAAATTAACTTGGCATGTTATTAATTATCTCAAAGGAATTTCCACCAAAGAGCAGTCTTGATCCCTCCCTCTACGGCAACCAGAACAGCACCTTCAAAGAACAAGACATCCAAGACAACCTTGACGGCTACTCTGTTTATGAAGTAATTCTAACTTAATCTCGACTATTTGCTCTTTCCATGGCTGTCAAAAAGAAACCATTTTGTCATGTTTGATCGTGTTTATCGCAGTAATTAAATACTCCAAAGGATTATGTAATTTAGTCACAGTGCTTTCCATCTTTTCACTTCTCAGGCGCTTCAATTGAAGAAACTCCTCATCATTGACCACCATGATGCAATCATGCCATATTTGAGACGCATCAACAGCACAGACAACAAAATCTACGCCTCCCGTACTCTGTTCTTCCTCAAAAAAGATGGCACTTTGAAGCCGCTGGCTATCGAGCTCAGCCTTCCCCATCCAGGCGGCGACAATCTCGGCGCCGTCAGCACGGTTTACAAACCGGCCAGTGTAGGCGTGGAGAGCACCATCTGGTTACTTGCTAAATCCTATGCCCTTGTCAACGACTCCGGCGTCCACCAACTTATCAGTCACTGGTAAGCAATTTTAACCGATTTCCGTTCGTTTATCTGGATATTTACCACCGGCCATGGCCGATCAGGTTGCGTACTCATGCGGTGATCGAGCCTTTTGTCATTGCGACCAACCGGCAACTAAGTGCGCTGCATCCAATCAACAAGCTCTTGGCGCCTCACTACCGCGATACAATGAACATAAACGCTCAGGCTCGCCATACACTGATCAGTGCCGGTGGTTTGCTCGAGTTCACCGTCTTCCCCAGCAAGTATGCTCTGGAGATGTCTGCAGTTGTTTACAAAAGCTGGAATTTTCTTGACCAGGCCCTTCCAGCTGATCTTCTCAAGCGGTATGTATACAATGCGACAGTTTTATACCTGGATTATTTACAAAGCTAACGCCTTTTTATCATATATGTATACAGTGGAATGGCCGAAATAGACCGATCATCCCCGCACAACCTCCGCCTTCTCATCCCCGACTACCCCTACGCCGTCGACGGCCTCGCCATCTGGTTCGCCATCGAAGGCTGGGTCCGCGAATACACCGCCATCTATTACCCCAACGACTCAGCCGTTCAACAAGACGGTGAACTCCAATCCTGGTGGACGGAGGTCCGGGAAGTCGGACATGGGGACCTCAAAGACCAGCCATGGTGGCCCAGTCTCTCCACCCTGGAAGATCTCATACAATCCTGCACCACCATCATCTGGATCGCATCCGCCATGCACGCCGCCGTCAACTTCGGCCAATACCCTTACGCCGGCTACCTCCCGAACCGCCCCACCGCCAGCCGCCGGTTCATGCCCCAACCCGGCACTGCCGAATACGAGGAACTGGAGAAGAACCCGGAGAAGGCGCTCTTGAAGACCATAACAAACCAGGTGCAGACGATTATCGGCATATCGTTGATCGAAGTTCTGTCTAATCACGCGAGCGATGAGCTCTATTTGGGTCAAAGGGCGAGTGCAGAGTGGGCCAGCGACAACCGAGTCATTCAAGCATTTAACCGGTTCGGTTCGAAGTTGAAGGAGATCGAGAAGAATATCAGTAACTTGAACCATGACCCGAGTTTGAAGAACCGGTGCGGACCGGCTCAGGTTCCTTACTATCTGCTGTCGCCTTACAGTGAAGGTGGGATCACCGCAAAGGGTATTCCGAATAGCATTTCAATCTGAGCCTAAGCTATCTTATATAGGTTGTTATGGAAGTAGAAATAAATGTTGAATAATGTTTTTCTCTGTAAGGTGTTGCCTTGGGAAAATTATTGTGTCCGTTGTCCGGATTCGTCCGGACACCAATCCAAACACGCCACATCAGTAAAATACATCGGGGCCCGATGTATTTGAGTGACGTGGCCCATCCGGATTGGTTGTCCGGATGTCAGGTGACCGGATGCAATAATTCGCCGTTGCGGTGAGGAAACTATGTTGCTTTCTGTATTTCTACTGAAGGTGGTGTGTTATGGTCGAGCCATAATGGCCGATGAAATAAATGCTGCTTTTATTTATGTTATGGTTTGTGATGCTGGGAGAAATTATTCTGTGTGGTCGGACTTAATCAGTAAGCGCCACGTTATTTTTTTCATGTGTACATGTGTTCAGTATCGCTGTTTACCGGACGATGTGATGTATCTTGATTCGCTTCTGAACCATCCGGTGATCGCACAGAATAATTTCTTGATGAAGAGCTAGCAGTGGAGAGAGGAGGCAGCTTTTTCTTTAAATTTTTTTAAGATTGTTTGATTAGTTGTAAATTAAATAATTATGCATGCGCCCATCATTTAATGGTTGTGGGGTCAATGACGAAAAATTATTAGGTGCGGAGTGCAGACGGGGAGAGCACCGTCTGCACAGACACAGGGTACCAAGCGATACCTAGTGGTACCCAGCGGTACCGAACGGTACCTAGCTGGATTTTATACTAGTGTGCGGACGGTTCTCCCCATCTACACTCCGCACCTAATTTCGATGACATATATGGAAACACTGATGTGTACAATGGTAGGTTGCTGGTCGTAAGTTCGACACATGTGTGATGGTAATTATAGATGTGATGGTCGATGGTGATTCAGAGGATGACATGTACGTGTATCATGTGCCGAGAAAATTTGGCCGCAATTATTCAAAATCCTTTGAAAAACTTGTTTTAATTTGCTTTGCTTTTTATCAAACATATAATAAAATGAAAATACGTACATTATGTTGAATGAGCATCGACTTAACTTTTTAGCTTGCAAACCGACCCGTTTTAAAATATTAACATAAAATACACTTAAAATAATTAGAATTCGAAAGTCAAGTGTAAAACAATTTAAAATGTTTTAAAATTATATCTCAAAAATATTTTAAAATTATATCTCATTTTTTATATCAATTAGTTATTTATTATTTATCTTCTAATTTTTAAATTATAGTAATTGCTTGAATATTATTATTTTTTTCATTATAAAGGAATTGATTTGAACTCGCAGAATTAAACTCAAGCTTAAACTCAAACTCAATTAATTAATAAAGCTCTAACACAAATAAGAACTAGAGCTCCATTCTACTTGACTCATCTAATTCCCATCGGCGGAGGGAGGGGGGACTATGGGGGGCACATGCCTCCCCTAAAAAACATGTGACTGTAGCTTAAAGCAATTTTTTAAGAAAAGGGAGAGATTTATGTATAATTATTTAGTCACCATTTTTATTGCATGTAGTATATTCATAAAAAAAAAAATATTTACCGAATTTATTGATCAAAATTTTTTTGTCAAAATGAATATTAAAAGTATTGTATTTATTTTAGGATATATGTAATATATATTTTAATTGAATTTTTTATGTTTTGCACTCATTTTAAAGCAAATTTAAATGTGGAGGATTAATTTACATAAAAAAATTTGTATTATTTTTATAAATAATAAGACCTAACAGTTTCATAATTTAAAATGCAAGAATATGCTTTAGGCTTTATTTGGAATAGTTTTCTTCCTAATTTTCGCAATAAATTTCTTATAAAAATTTTCACTCTAGCAATAATATCATATCACAGGCCCAAATGGAGACTGCTTCCAAATGGTTTGCTTTCCCTCGACCCAAACTGTCTGCTTCGTTTTCCCCTTCGCTCATCTCTCGCAACTTGCAATCTCGAGCACAGCTTTCCTGTTCCTTTTCGCTCCTCTCTCGTCATGTTATTTGCATTCTTAATTTTGATCTTTCAACTCCTCTTAGCTCCAGTAATGAGACGACAAACGGAACTATTTTAATGTATTATGACATTCAAGATGAGATGACAAACCATCATAAAATTGACCGCCTGAAAATTAACCATCTAAAAGTCGACGGAAAATTCTACCGGTAATTAGTGATTTCTTTGCAGTGTTTAATTTAGGCTCCCCTGAATAAAATTTCTAGCTCCGCCACTGCTAAATCCTATGAGGAGTAGAAGAATATATCGGTTGGCTGCCAACATTATCCAAACACAGTAAACAATTACGATTATACCACCAACCACAGGTGGCATAAGAAAACAACCATACAAATCAGAGTGACATAGCATATATAAAGATTTCTCCCTAACATTTAAAAGAAAAATAGAGACATCTAACGCACATATAGCTACCCATATATATATGCATAATAGAATTTTCTAGAAAAAACTAGAAAACAGGTACAAAATAGGTAAAAACTAATTAACTAATATGCTATGCATCAGATAGGAAAATATCTATTGACAAAACACCACATGATCCTCGCCGCATTTGGCTCAACCCATTTAGATTTAAAAAAAAAAAATTAATAAAAAGCTAAGGCAACTAATTATCAAAAGAATTTAAGTAGAATTACAATTACTGCTGTCAAATCTATTTATTAGAACTTTTTCATCATATCATAATCAAGATTTGATTAATCTAAACTTTAATTATTATCTAATAATTTATTTACAAATCAAAACTTCTAATTCACAATTTAATTTATATTTTTTGAATTAACTTATCAATCTGAATCTAATCTAATAATAAATAAAATCATAACATAAAATTTGAACTCAACATATTTATTAAAGGAATTAATCGAGACTCAAATTTTGTGAATTTAGAGACTGCAGGCTTGTCATTTGTTGGAGAAATTATTTTGTGAGAAGACCGAACGTAGCATGTCATCCGGAAACCAATCAGAATGCGCCATATCAGTGGTGCCGAGCCGCGGTATTGAGCAGTACCGAGCCGCGGTGCCGAGCAGAGAGATCATATGATACATTCTGATTGATCTTCAGACAAAATTTAACTTATGCACAAAATAATTAATCCTTTTGTTGACACCTTCATCTTTAGTTGAGTTAGATGGGCAAATTATATGCTTTACAGGTTGCCCTTTCTTGTATTTAGTGTAATTGATCTTAATTTTAATATATTAGGCTTTGGCACTTAATTCTTTTTAAAATAATAATACTAAATTATCTGATTTTTTAATAATACTCCCCCGTCCCGGGACCCACTCTCGCCAACTTTTTCATTAAATTCACTCAACGCCATAAAAAAATAAAATAAAATAAAAAGGCATCCGTAGCTTTTAACCTCTGCCAACCACGTGATAAGTGAAGTGGTGCAGCTGTGGAAATGAATGATGTCTGCTACAGGAATAGGACCACCACCAATGTAGATTTTAAAAATAAATAAATAGTTATGAAAAATTTATTTAATTTCACAACATTTTTGTTCCACTGACCTGTAGCCTTTGTCATGAGAATTCTGACAATGTCTCACATTTTTTTTTGGGGGACATTTAGGTCAATAAAGTCAAATTCACACACACAACGTATACACATAGACTCGAATCTTGGACCTCTTAGTTGGAAGCCTAAGCTCTCAACCAATAGGCCAAGGAGAGTTGTGTCACATCTATTTTTTGAATGTCCTTTCTCATATGCTGTGATTGCTCATCTTATGTGTCCCGTTAAGAGACTTTTTATTAGACCCACGATTCTTTATTTGGGGGAATGGATTAATGGTGAATCAAATGTGAAGCATCAAGTTAAATTTCTATATCACATTTTCTCTTGCTGTGCTGTTTATTATATCTGGAAGGAAAGAAATAACAGAAGATTTGGTAAGTTTGTGAACTGCCCCATCACTATTGCCATGAGTATCAAATAAGCTGTTTTTGAGAAAGTTCTCAAGTGGAAATCCAATTCTTCTGTTCTTGAAATGTTATGATGTGGGTTTTTGGCTGTACCTTATGGTTCTCTTTTTGCCCGTATTCTCGAGTTGGAAATCTCTGTATTTTGCCTGCCGCTGCCTTCATATACGCCTTGGACGATGATGATGCTCCCTAAGCAGGCCCCCTAGGATGGTATTCGGGCAACCAGGGGATTTGGTTATTCTTGAAATGCGGTGATGAAAATTTATTCCCGAGTCTAGGCTTTCATTTTCTTTGGGAGCTCTTTTACATTTTTGTTTTCCTGATTTGGTTTCTTTGAGTTTTGCTGCCTTTCTGCGCAGTTTTTGGCTCCCGGTTGTCTGAGCTTCCATGATGTAGTGCCCCCGTCACCTGCAAGAACAAAAGCCAAAAGAAAAACGAAAGAGCAAGTTCTATACGAAGAACTCTGTATTTTCCTTCTTACTATCTGTAAAAGCCAAAAAGTGAAGATAGCTTTGCTTTCTCAGTATATGTATCCCCCTCCCTCTAATTTCTCTACCCTTTTTGCTGTAAATGAAATATTTTCTAAAAAGGACTAATAGTACTAAAACAAGCAGAATATAGTAAAATGAAACATAAAGGTAAAACTAAGATAATGGAGAACGACTCAAGATTGTTTTCTGAACTCTCTCTAGCTTTGTAGTGTGAGAAACTCTGCTAGGGCGTTTTCCATTTGCGCCTCCGTGCTTTTTTTCCTTCCTTTCGCCACCATCGGAGGGATCTTATGGATCCCTCCCTCCACCCCTCATCCTTTCCTCCTCTTCCCAACTCCTCTCCTCCCTCTATTGCTGGAACCTCTTCTCCCTTGCCGTGGGATCGTGTTTTCGCCAACCCGCCAGTTGCTGTTGAGTTCTCCATCACCACTCTGCCAACCCCGGAAGATATTATCGATTTTCCGACTTTGGGTATCGCTGAAGCTAAGGAAGAATGGAACCTCGGTTGGATACTTCTTGGGCAAACGACCTTTCTATGAATCTCTTCTTAATGCCGTTAAGAAGCTCTGGGAACTCAAAGGTTATATCAAACTTATTTCACTCAACAATGGATTTTTTTCTTTTCAAGTTCTCATGCCGTGAAGATTTTGAGATGGTTTGGAACAAAGGTGCATGGTTTATTTTCGGTAAACCTTTCATTTTTCGTAAATGGACTTCTCATTTCAGCCCTAAAAGAGAAGAGTTTACCAGTGTTCCTATTTTGTTCAAAATCCATGATTTGCCGCTGTGTTGCAGGACTCCCGTTGGTATTTCTAAGATAGCCACAAAAATTGGTCGTACTCCGGTGGCAGTTGACTCCCTCACCGCCTCCAAATCAAGATTAACCTATG